GACTGAGATCCTGCCTGTCACTCACACTCCACCTTCCCAGCTTCTAGGACTCTGCTCCTGTTGCACCCCTTCCCTAAATCTTTCTCCACACCTGTCCCAGGAGCCTGACCAGTCCACCTGCCCCTTGGATTGTGACTGTTGGTGGCCACACCACTGGCCTCACTGGATGCAAGCCACTTCAGGGCCAGGTGTCCCCACCCAAAGGCCTCAGGCCATTCCCCGGGTAGGCGTCTGCTGGAACAACCTTCCAGAGGTGACGAGCAGAGAGTCGGGAAGGCAAAGGTTAAGGTCAAACAGGTTTTACTTCCTCTCTGTGCAAATTTCTTCCTTGACATGATCTACTGCATGTTAGACAGGACGGGCTGGGATGGAGGGTTCCTGGCACTTGGTTGTGTGGGTGGAGCACATTATCCCACCGACACTCCTGAGGGTCAGTACACAGCAGAGTCCAGGCCCTGCTTCCTGCCTTCTCAGAACTTGCAGCCGGCAGACAGGAAGGTGGCGGCAAGGCCACCACCATGAGCCTGGCTTTCTAGGGCTGTAGGCCTCCTGGCAACAGGCCATGTAGGCTGCACCGTGAATCTCGGAAAGCCGAGAACTTCAGCTGCGAGGGGCTGGAGGGGACAGTGGTCACACGGCACCCTGGGCCGTGGCCTGGCCCCGCAGAAAGGCTATGCTCATTCCCAGCCCTCTTCCCCTCCCTCTTGTTTTCCTCCTAAGAGTCTTTTCTCCCTTTAGTTTCTCAGCTGAGACTTCTGTTTGGATTTCTTAAATGTGCCAATTTGTTAATTATACACAATAATGCTGTGTCCATGCTGTACTTACGTTACAATGACTGTGTTTGTCCTGATTGTTAAGTTGCCAATTATTATTTTCATTATAGCAGTCGTTTCATTGTAGAAGTTTCAAGGGACCCCAGATTCCATGGGCCGTAACACTGATCAATTCTACACCTTGAAAAATAGGTTGATAGTGTGGGGCAAGAAAATTTCCCGCCTTGTGTGTCATATTGTTGTTTACTGTATACAAGTTGGTGTAGTACACATCGTATGACACAGTTAAAATGGATGCAAAACTTTCAGGAGCACAATAATGTGTGTTCAGGTACAAAGAGCCCCCCCCATCTGGACATGTTTATTTAATTGACTTTCTAAAAGCATTTTGTGCTGTTTTTACTATCTCAGACCCCAGGGTTGTCCCAGCGTACAGCCAGGGGCTTCGAGGAGAGTGTCAGAAATATTCTCCAGCCTGAAGCCTGTCACCACAGAGTAGGTGGAGGCAGATCAAGGAATCGCAACCAGCTCTCGTGGGGACAGGGAAAGGGCACAGAGGACAGGTTGTGTACAGGTATTCATGAAGCACCAACTCTGTCACAGGAAGCGGGACCTGTGAATAAAGTCTGTTCACGATAGTTGAAGGTCGTACCACGCAGTGGGGAGGCGGGGGGGTTAGGGAAGCTTCAGGGAGAAGGGGTCGTTTGATCTGGGCCTTGATGGAAGACAGGACCCTCCAAAGCCAAATGGGAGTTGGGGAGAGAGGTTGTCGCAGATCAGAAGGGCAGCAGGGTCAGAGTCAGCAGGACACATGTGCAGGGCATGCTCTGCACACAGCTGGCAGGAGCCGGTGGCTTGCTCGGGCAGGGGGGTGGTGGGATTGAAAAGCCATGCTGAATCCAAATTGTGCAACAGGAACAAATACGGACCAGGAGTCGGCAGACGTGGGGCAAGGCTGGGCTTTGCCTATGATCCCTGCGGGCTGTGAGGAAGACGTGGGCCCAGTCTGCTTCTCTCTGTAAACCAAGGAGCCTCGCACCTGCTCATGGCTTCCGTAGCAGGCCACAATGACCTCTTCCTCCCCCTTGAGGTGGCAGTGGGAGAGCCGGGGGTGGGGGGAAGAGCTGGTGAACACCTGCTGCATCTAGGGATGGGGCTCCAGGTGATTTCAAGCTGTGTGACAAGCATGTTGGGGTGTTTGAAGGGTCACAAGAAGGAGCACCAGGCTTACCAGCTCCAGGCTGCAGCAGATACCAGGCCCTGAGGGTGCTGAGCCCCTGGCAGCTCTGTACAACAGCAGCCTTGATGCCTGCCCCTGCCCTCCTGGGAGCAGAGACCGGAACAGGGATGAAAAGTAGAGTCTGACATATGCCAGACATCATCACCCAGGTAGTATGTGCAGGCGTGAGATGCACATGAATGTGCATGTGTGGGGGAGTGCGTCTGTGTGTCTGCGTACGTGCACACCTGGTGTTCAGGAGTCAGTGACACAACCTGTATCCATAATGCCAGGGCAAC